AACAAGACTTGATCATCTGTACAATTTTTGGCATATGAATACCTATGTTTTCTTGCTGCAGAAGTAATAAACTATTCAGATTGTCACTGTTTAAAAAGGTACCTTATGCTTTAAGATTAACATAATTTTGTGTGTGTTTTTGAAACTGGGAAGGAAGTTTAAAATTGGATGATAGAAGGTAATGTTGAGTTAGCATTTCGATTAAGTTAAACCGTGGTTTTCAGGGTTGCATGTTGCTGTACAAATGTGCTCTGGTGGAAATGTCAGAAAAGTTTTTTTTAGAAAGTGCCTTACATTTTTTAATGTGTTTTTCTAATTTCCCATAAGGAGCTCCTTTGTATCTTTACTACCCAGTGGAGGTGGGGCGGGGGGTAGAGTCAGGGCCCAAATGTTTGTAAATATGCCAGGTACAGAGCTGGTTAGGCTTCATTTGTGCTGACTAAAGGAGAATGGGACCAGTACTGTTCCATTTAAACCACTGGAGTTTTGCCATTGACTTCAGAAGGAGCAGAATCAGACATACTGCTTGAAGAGTTCATTAATATCCATAAAAATATCACAGAAAATAAGGTATTGTAGCCATCACTTTCCAAAGTACATATTGTGAATGGGGATTAACTACTTCATAGTTTGATATACTGTATGTCCCTATGAACATTCAAGAGCCCCTGTAAGAAGCTAACCTCAGCAGACATGGATTTACACCAAAGGCCTTATTAAATCCTTGATTTATAAGCATACAGACCCAACAGCAATTGAATGAGTTATTTTAATTGGGTTGATAATTCATTAGAAATAACTGCTTGGTATCACTGAAGCATGGCATTTTTTCAATGCCTGTATCACAGGCAGTGGGCTTTCCTATATGTTATCTATTGCCATGTCTTGGGGTTTGTCTTGACTAGGATCTAACAGCATGTGATCCAAACACATTAGCTAAAATAGTCTCACACGACACACACACATTCTGCAAGTCTAACATAGATAAGGGAATGGTCCCTTGCACTTTGTTCTGAAGCTTCTGGCTGGTCAAAGGCAGGATCCTGGATAAAATGGACCTTAGGTTTGATCCACTCTGGATATCCCTGTGTTCTCGTGCATGGATTTAACTAGTGATACAGGTAACATGGTGGCTACCTTGTCTGCACTCGACTTTTATGATGTATTAGTTGGTACATTCTAGCAAAATGTTTTTAAAACCCTAGTCAAGACAAGCCTTTTGGATTTGGTATTTCCAGGGAAGAGAATCCCTGCTGTTGCTCTCACTTGCAAAAGCAGAGCTGAGCACTAAGGGCAAGAATCTGCTTTTTCAAGTATTTGACTATAGTACAAGTTGGGTGTGAATTACTCGTGACTGCACACCCTAGAGCTCCCATGCTGTACTCTGTACAGAGCCACAGCTTTGGGTGAATTTAAGAGCCTGCTACTAGATTCTGAAGTCCCTTGGAAACAAGGGAAATACCCTTTGGATCAGGACTTAAAAATTAAAACCCAGTCAGGCCCATTGTGACAAAGGAAAAAGTTCTTGACTCCTTCCATGGAACAGGAGTTTGGCCAAGAAAGATTAAACAAGATGCTAGTTGAGAAATCCAAGGGCTCACTGAGCCCAACAGGTATTCAAGGAGTTGCCAAACTGCTGACATTTGGAACGGACAGATCTGTGTTCACTGGGTAGAATGAAGGATCGAGTCCAGTCTTGGCCGCTTGGATAAGTGATGGATTTTTTTACAATTGCTTTCATTGAAGGTAATTTTAAGAGAAGATGGAAATAACATAACCAGCTATGTTTAAGTGACACTGTGCCACAAACCAATACAAACTGGGAAACTGAAAGTGAACAATGACACATTATCCACATCTTTGGCTGTTTCTTTTATTTCCTGTCTCCCAGAGTAGCTTCAATGAGAAATGCCATAATTGGATCTACTACCTTTTCTTATAATTGTTTGAAAAGTACATGTAATTGTCATGTGTTTGGTTAAAAAGAAAAGGAAAAACAAATGCCGCCTTACAAAATTTATAAATTGCCAGCAGCCCCATGATGATCAAAATCACTAAAAAAGCAGTGTGGCAAAAGACGGAGGACAAAACATTGTAGCAAGGAAACGGATTTCAATTGCAACTGCCAGGGTTATTATAACTAACAGTAAGTAAAGACATTCATTTTAAAACTATAAAAATAACATTGCTGGGGTCTGTCTCTTTAAACATAGCACTTACCAACTTAAAGATTTCCGGACATTTTTTCTTGGTTTGTGTAGCACCCTGAACATTTATAACAATATTGGGAAAAAGTTTCAAAAGTGATTTATTTTTTAAAAAATAGTGTATTTACTGTTGTGCTTAATTTTTTTTCTGTCTAAAATGTCAATATTTTTTACCTGAAATAAACCATGTAACAGATTCATGTATTCTGGGCAGTGAAAATTATTTCCGTTAACTCTTTTTTCTGCATATCATCAATTTGCTTTTTACTCATGTTCCTCCTACTGTCGCTGTAAGCTTACTTGTTGTTTTTTCTTTCCTTTTCTTCATGCTGTCGTTTAGAGCCCTACAGAGAGACAAGTATGGGAGTAAAGCTAAACATTGCATATCAAATGTAATTTTTTTTAGTTCACTTTTATTGCATCACATATAGATGATGTAGTTTATAAAAAAAAAAAAAGAAGTTCATTTCTCACAACTTTAAAATCAAAAGAGTAAAACTCTTGGATTTATATGTATATGTATATGTGTTTGTGTGTGTATATATATAAATCCCTATGTGTGTGTGTGTGTGTGTGTGTGTGTGTGTGTGTATATATATATATATATATATAAACACACATGCACACATACACAGAATAGATGCTTTTATTGTCTATTTCTTTTTTTGTGTGTCTTTTACCCAACATAATTCCTAAGTCTCACATAACTGTGTGTGCGAGTTAAATTGTTTCTAATTTAAACATTTTTATTTACAAAGTTGTAACCTTTTTTTTGTTTTATATGGCATATTTCATTGTGGAACCAACTCTATTTCCAATGCGATGCATCCACTTTATTTTCCTACAGAATCTTCCAGCCTCCAATTCTATGCATTGGCAGCAGAAATAACAATCAGTGTCTCAATGCATAAGTTTCCCAGCCATGACCATCAAACAGACACTATAGTAACAATCACTCATTACATAGTCCCATTAAAATATTTGCTTTTTATTTTTCCTTAAACATCGTGGATTGTTTACCCAGACCTTCCAACATGAAAATAAATGGCTTTTGGTCTATGTCTGTGGATGGCTAGTTTATTTTATGCATAGCTTTCTGTTTTGTTTGGAAATTGACAGTATGCATCAGAAATCCAAAAGAGGGGTGACATATTCAGGACATTTCAGTCAAAGAAAGAAAAAAGTCAGCAGTAGCTCTTTCCAAGCTTCAGCAGCCTTGCTACAAATATTGCATCACAGATATAGACGAATCCATATTTTCAGCAGGTACACTAGCAGTGTACTAAGGTTTTTTTTTTTCTCTTGTTGATGTGAATGACCATTAATCTTTTTTGTCAATAAACAGCTGCTCTAACGCACCGCTGCTTGTTCAGGGTTGTCTACTGTGTGGGACAACATCTGAATATTTTGAGAAATTAAATGGAAAAATTTCATGCATTCTCATGTTTGTGCTCATTCATTGGGTTTCAGAGGCCAATAAGAAAACCATGGCACTTTAACATCCCAGGAACCAGTCTCTCCTCTCATCTACCCTGGTTTTACTCCATTGGTTTCAAAGCAGCTATCCCCCATCTTCGCTAGTGTAAGCAAATGAGGAATCAAAGCCAGGTTTTTATTTATGGTGTTAACACACTTATGCAAATTTATATAATTAATTAGTTCAATCATTTCAACATGACCAGTTTATCCCCAACAGTCATGCACCTTGTTTCTATGGTATATTCCTTTTGCAATTCAGAAAGAGAGAGATATTTTTAAAAAAGACAGGCAAAGTGTTAACCAAGTGATCGTGCTAATGGGAGGTATCCCATGCCCCCACTTACGAAAATCCACTCCTTATAGTCTACAGTACTGTAACTGGCATAGTATGTACTGTAGTTTGAACACAGCTACGTGGTTTAGAAAAGGACGCAGAAAACATTTTTGAAAGAATCAGGAATATCCACACATCTATGTCCCAATAATCTCCAGGACATGACTGTATTATAACATTTGGTAATACCCATCCATGCTGGCTGGCATTGTGCAAAGCATTTGGTCATGCCCATGTGACAGAAGATATACAGCATCTAATTTCTTTGGAAATATGATTTAAAAGCAGAAAGTGATTTTTCTTTTTAAATCACAGCCATTCAAGCTGGAACAAATTCTGCCTTTAAACTGTGTACATGCAATCTCATTGCTTCTAGTAGCATCTGTAGGTGAAAGGGAGGACATTTTTTTCCGTGTATCACCTTAATTTACTAAATGGCTTCCTGTGCTTTGGGAATGATATTGATATTTTGTAAATACAAATCCTCAGTTGGTCTGCATTTTCATAGTTGCATTGACATCCATTATACCAGCCAAGGATCTGCCCTGTAGATTTTTTTGATTTTTTTTTAGTTCTAAGACAACATGTAAAACAAGCCAATATGTCCTTGGGGAGCAGCTGTGTAACACCAGTAGAAGGTGTTTGCAAGAGAGGAGGGGGCATTCTTTCTGACACCCTGCTTCCAAAATAAGTACAATGCACAATGCTTGATATCTTTTTCAGTGGAGAAAAGCTTAATCTTATTAGCTAGTGCTCTTGTTCCCTATTGAAGTATTTTAGGTCCCTTTATTTATCCCACAGTGATACTCCTGCTATCAAACCCCAATTTTTATGTGTTTGGTTATTTATTTTTACATGGCTACCGGGTAGCATAGCAACACAATAAAGTGTTACCGTGTAGAAAAAGTGTTTTGGCTGTGCAAGTCCTGCGTGAGTGTCCTGTTTGTACAAGTCACCCTCTCTTGTGTAATGTTTTTCAGAGGGGCTTCTGAACAATGCCAGGGATACAAGTGTCATGGATACTCTACCACTGAATGGTAACCACGGCAACAGCTACAGCATTGCCAGCGGCGAGTACCTGAGCAACTGTGTGCAACTCATTGACCGTGGATATAACCACAACGAGACTGCCCTAGAGAAAAAGATCCTGAAGGAACTCACCTCCAACTACATCCCTTCCTACCTGAACAACCATGAGCGCTCCAGTGAACAGAACAGGAACCTGATGAACAAACTCGTCAACAACATTGGCAGTGGGAGCGAGGATGACGCCATCGTCCTCGATGATGCCACCTCCTTCAACCATGAGGAGAGCCTGGGCCTGGAACTCATCCATGAGGAGTCGGACGCCCCCTTGCTGCCGCCAAGAGTTTATTCCGCAGAGAACCACCAGCCTCACCACTACACCAGGAGACGGATCCCCCAAGACAACAGTGAGAGCTTTTTCCCATTGCTAACAAACGAGCACACAGAAGACCTCCAGTCACCCAACAGGGATTCTCTTTACACCAGTATGCCTGCACTGGCTGGCATGCCTGCCACAGAGAGCGTTACCACCAGCACCCAGACCGATCCCCCCCCAGCCAAAAGTGGTGATGCCGACGATGTTTACTACAAAAGCATGCCAAATCTAGGCTCCAGAAACCACGTCCATCAGCTGCACACTTACTATCAGCTAGGTCGAGGCAGCAGTGATGGTTTTATAGTCCCACCAAACAAAGATGGGACTCCTCCTGAAGGAAGTTCTAAAGGACCCACTCACTTGGTCACTAGTCTATAGAAGATTAAGGAAAAATTAAACAAACGCCCCTCCGTAACACCTGGTTTACTGTTCTGAGTTAATACAAGCAGTGGTAATATTGTGTGTACTCCTAAATCTTCATGCTGTTCTAAAAAGCAAACAAACTCAGACTTTTTTTACTGGAATTTTTAGGCCAGCCCAGAGAGAGAACAAGAACCGCTGAAGTTCCCACCCACTCTTCTCTCCTTCCTCAGACAGACTTCATTATGTTAATGAAAGAGATATGACAGATAATGGCACACTTTGTGGCCTTCTCAAGTTATGATGTGTTTGTTTAAACATCCTTGATGCTAAGTTGCTATTATTACCATGGACCTGATTTTAAAAGAAAGAAAGGCCAAATCATGCATTTGCAACTAGTAGCGATGATGCATCTAGGTGGGAGTGCTGCACAAAACAAAAAGCAAACAACAAAATAGCAAAACTGTTTATTATGAGTCTGTATCACATCATGGTTTTCGGTCACTCACTACTCGGTTTAACTGCAGCTCACTTAGCTGTGGGAGCAAACAAAAGATCTAATGAAATGGAAGGGAATTCTAGAATTGTATGCTAAAGGCATATTTTATGTTTTGCTGTATTAACTGATGATAAAAACTAATGGCAGAAAAAAATGGAACAATTTCTATGTAATGTACAGATACTAGCATTGCACATATAGTCTGCTTTCTGTTCCTCCAGAACTGGCGTCCCTGTTCATGTAGTGGGAAAAAAAAAAAGATTTTTTTCTGTTGTGCTGGTCTTGCAAGTTTGTCTACCAGTAGGAGCAAGGTTTTTTCATAAGTCCTTTTTTTGCCATTATTTTTTTCCTTTAAAAAAAGAAATCACTGGGCAAAAACAAAGGTCACTTTCTAAGGATCATTTTTAGTAATGCGATCGCAAGTTCTTTTGAACCAATGGATTTTTTTTCTCTCACTGTATATCTTTCTTCGATTGGTGTATTGCCAACAGAACTCTCTGTGATTAGAGCAGGACAAACTTTATGTTTACAGTGCACAACTGAATAATAATAATAAAATAATAATACTATGAAACATTTGGCAAGCAGTCCCTCAGCCAGGCAGTAGGTATGGTTCTAGAAGCCAGGAGATCTTTTATAGGCATAGTGGGGCTTCTGCACGTGAAAGGATATATCCCTGTAGGAGTTAAGAGTCTTCACAGCTCAGTCTGGTCCCCAATCTAGGCATTTGTACTGCAGTGGTTAAAAGGAGAATTGACTCATAGCAAGAATTTAAAAGCAAACTATTTTGAAGTGATAAAAAATAAAAGAAAATTTTCTGTTCCATTATTTTCCTAACAGGAAATGTATTTATTTGACAGGATTTTAAGTAATGTAGGCTTTCCAGAAGTAAATTAGCAGCACAGATTATAATTTTTTTTTAATTTATGATCCATTTTGTATGGTCTCAAAGTTGAATGACCTCATTACTAATATTTGTTGTAAAAGTGAAACTTGTTTGCCAACCAATAAACAACTGATTAAGATTTAGAAGACACAGTCTGTGTGTACCGTACAACTGAGCTTTCTCTTCATTTCTCTCTCCCTTGCTATCCTCAATTTAAAAATTGTTATTACTTTAGGGTACAAGTGAGCAATGGTAACGAAAAGAACCCCTAGCCGAATAATTTAAGCACGAGCATTGTGACTGACTCAGGATCTAGGAAATGAGGTTAGTTGTATTGGTTTTGAGGCAGGGATGAAGTGGATCTCCTTTTAGCAGGTTACTGCAGGCTCCTATAGGTCTGTATAGACCTCCTGCATCTACTACTAGCCTGTGACATGAAAAGGATCTAAGGAAGGTGGTCCATGTGTTGTACTTGTTTGTCATTGTAATGACTATTCTGTATTTTGGGTACTTTGGTTCTTCTGAGATTAAAAGCAGCTGGCTCATGGCAAGGAGTAAAGCAAGCCCACTATAGGCCTCCCCTGTCATTGCTTGTAGTCTTTTCAGTTTAATGTTCTGGACCAATGTGAAATGAATTATCTGAAAAGGAACTGTTAGCCTTTTCTGGGTCTTCTCTGGTCATGCTCATCTTCAGCCATTTTCCAAGAGACCCCCAGCTTCCACAAGAAGCCCAATAAACCCTCCATGCATTTTGCTGAAAAGATATTTCTTGATTACCGTCCTCCTTTCCCCCTCCCAGTTTGGGATGTCTCCTTTATTTGTATAGTTTGCAGGTGTGTTTTTAAACCAAACTCTCCTCCTACTCATCTTGTGGTTAATTTCTGGATAGAGAAAAATTATAGAACTTTCCCAAAGGATTAATGGACAGACTAGAAAAAACAACAACATAGAACAGAAAGCCTGTCAGCAAAAATAACTGCCCTCAGGACATACTCTGTACTGAATATAAAGCATCTCAGATGCTAACTCTTACATCTGTCTCTTGAGGTCTGATACTGCTTCTGTACAAGTCAGTGGCAAAACTCCCGTTAACTTCAGTAAGAGCCAAATGTCCTCAAATGGGCTGGTGATGCCTACAGTAAAAGATGACTGCCTTATGTTGGAGAATAAATGCGTTAGCTACATGGTTCTTGACATTGGACCACATTTTGATATTTTTACACTGAATAATACTGGATATTCCTTGAGTAGTGCTACTGAAGGCAACAAGGCTTGTTGTAATATTAAGTACTACCTAACAGGAGGATTTAATGGTGTTAGAAACCCAAAACTATACAACAGTGTACAGTTTACCTGGGGGGAAGGGGGAGAGAGGGAGGGCACAGCACTTCTTCAGATCTGAACTGTGTTCTGAAAGGAACCTCATTTTCTGTGTGCACAAAGTAACTGCACAAAGCTGAATGCAGTTTTACATTTTAGACAAGAACAAAGAAAGATTCTATTCAATAACCAGGGGGTTGAGAACAAATTGTAGCCCAATGAGAGAAAACTAAAACTCACTGTTTGTACTCCTTGTCTTGAGGCTGCCATTCATATGCCCTAAAACATGTTGTCTCCACACCTTCTGTGTTTTATTAATCTTTTCAGTGTCACTGTGACGGACATCACCAGCACCATGTTGATTTATGCATGCAAATAGAATGGTAACTTCAAAGCCTCCATTGGCATAGCTAGCGCAGGAAGTTAAATGGACACTGCCAATAATCTGTAATATGTGAAGTGAATACATTTTTGGAAAGGACAAAAATCTCCCACTGCATCAGGTTCAAAAAATACTTTTAGAGGGAGGTGGCAGACTTAAACTCGTTCAGTGGGTAAGATCCATCACAGTAAATGTTTTCTTAATAAGGGTCCAGTGGTTGATAACGACAGTATCTACCAGGGTGCCTAATATTGTACAAGAGAGTATATATGGTTGATACACTGGTGAATAAATGTATCCTAGTGAAATATTATATCCTTGTGATGCTGGCAAGGTCTTTTTCTCCCATCTTTATTCATTCAACTTCCCATGTATGCTTTTAATGCATTGATTGGTCAACCTTGTTCCCTTCTGCCCTCTAGCTGTTTTTTAGCTCTTCTGTTTGTTAACTCACAGTGTCCCCTCTATCTTTTCTTGGGTGGTTGTAAAAGACGGTCTTCATTTTAAAACCGTTAATCTCGATCTGATGTGATTCTGGCATTCCAGTACTTCATTGGTAATAGTACCACTTATAGATACTGGAAAGATGGAACGACAAAAGTAAGGAGAGTTGCATTATATTAATACTAATTGCAGTCATTCAATACTTTTTAAAGTTTCTGCCATGTCATTTTGTTTTCTGCCCTTTATTTAAGGTCCCATAGTCCACTGAAAATATGAGCACTAGCAAGCAGAAATTACTGAATGGTGAGCGATAGCCACAGTACAAATATAGCCTTGTGTCAATAGATGTTCATTTTATGTGAAATACAGTAAGTTGATGTCTTTCAAGTACCCCACAATATGTGAAATTCAATTTTGAGCAAGTTCATGAATTGTGTCCTTGAGGCTAACTCTTTCTGTGAATTACAGGGAGAAATACAGAGCTTTCAAGCTATTTCCCAGTGTGCCAACCAGAATATTTCTAATACTAAAAGCATATTCTGAAAGAATGGCAGATACAAGGGACTGCAGCTTGCCTTGAAGGGAGCATGCATGAGACAGGAGGGAGTAGCCAAGAGCTGGCAGTGCTGTCATTATGGTTTGAATTAGTTTCCATTTTAAGAGGTACATCATTTTTCTGAATCAGAAAAGGTCCGGGGTTGCTGTTTGGCCTTTACGAGAAAGATTTTTTTTTCCCCGTGTGTTCTTGAAAAATCATTTGCTTTTTGGATTTGTGGGTGAAAAGGAGTGGGGGGGAGAGGCGTACATCTTTCCTATCTAAAACTATGCTAGTTGCACTTAAAAAAAAATCAGAGCCATAACCAAAATGACTTAATGCTCACAATTAGTGAATGAAGATATGCTACCTTTTTTTGGAAAACTGTAGTCTAATTACCAACATTTTGAGGGTTATTGGCTGCTCTGCAGCTTTTCAAAATGAGGCTACTTAAGTGCTTAATTTGGGCATTCTTTTTTTGAAAACTGGTTCTTGACCCTCTCCCACTTTCTTCGCTGGGAATGGGAGAAGAAAGAAAAGCATTATCTTATGAGCTTAGCTGTACCTTTGAGCAAAAGGTGACATGCTACGTGTCATTAGGAGTGGCCTTGGGAAAAGAGTGTTTTGTCTAAAAGATCCTGTTTTCCTCTTGCTTCTTATAATTTGCTACTGGTTTGAGTCTACTGGCCTATACCTTAGGGAACAAACCACAACTCCACACATCTCCCATCCTTCTTTTGTGATGGGCAAGAAGCTGACAGGCAGCATTTACTCATTCTTACTCATGCCCTAAACAACTACTGCAATAGTTCAGTGGGCATTTACCAAAAGCCCAGAGGTTTAATGAAGCCTCAATTCCTATAGGGAATCTTTTCTGTTCATTTTTTTCTTTTCAGCCTGATAAGCATAAAGGCCACTGCAGCTGCATGCACTTTAGGATGTTTTTGAAAGTTTCCCTGAAACGCACACAAAGCAAAATGCTTCCAAAGAAAAGTGCACTCTGATGCACAGTGGTGGCAGGGCAGGGGGAAAGTAGCTCAAATAGCTGTAGTTGCAGTCTAAACCACCCCATGTGTTCTGGACTCATAAAATCTCTTTCATCATTGCAAGGAAACAGCTGTCATCTTATATGCTGGTATGCTTCTACTGTCCTGTCAACCCAGTCAAGCCCTGGTGTATGCCGTTATGGATGAGACAGAAAACACCATGAGTTACAAAGTGCATGAAGTTCGTACTCTTCTCCCAATGGAACAGAATTTCCCAACTAGTGCAGTGGGCAGGAGATACAGTCAGCACTGAGATCAGAGTATGGACTCCTCAGAGTAGTGGTGGGGAGATGCATACAATGACCCATCCTCCAGAGCAAGTAGGCATAAGGCCTATCTTCAGGGATCATCCTATCATGAGCAGCCTACCTGTTTTAACTGAAGGCTTCTTGTTTCAAATTCATGCTGACTGAGTTGATTTTCACCTCCTTAGCAAGTTCCATTTAACTCAACACTGACATTTTCTTTAATAGAACCTGAGTGACCGCAGCACTGATGCTGCACCGACCAATACAGATCCAGAGGCAGGTTAATGTAGCCATGAGGCACTTATGTTGCTGTGTTATACACATGACTGGTTAGATATAACTATGTCTTGTTTCCTACCAACAAGTCAGCACTCCTCTCTTTGCAGTCTGGGCTGGAGGGTGGCAGTAATGCCAGTTCACTCCTTTTCACAGCATTAGAAGATCTTTGAGCTGTCTCCCGAGTGAGATCCAATTGCTTTGGCTTCCAGGTAGCTGTCAGAGGTCAGCAGTAAGCAGCAGTACTGTAGTAACAACTCCCTTCCACCCCTTGCCTACCGTTGAGTCACAACGAGACCATGCCCCTTAGAAAGAAGCTAGTTGAGGGTTGGTATATAAGCATGATTCTGCTTAGTCTACGCCACCAAGGGAATCTCTAAAAGGAATTCCTAAAGTGCTTTCTGGTGATCCAAAGCAGGAGGTCTACAGCAGAGGAGAGTGGGAATATACCTCTAAATTTAATATGTAGGGAGTCTATCTATGTAAAAAGCATACATCATCAAGCATATCAAATATGTAGCTTTGGCCCATTCAACATGGTTACTGAAACTCAGTTGGCATGTCTTGGCCTTGTGAAAACCAAGTTAGAAAAACTTTTCTGACCATGAAGACTTAATTTAGCAATCAAATGATATTTGCAGAAGGAATGGGCAGGGCTGTATCATTCTCTCTCACACATAAAGAGAGAGAGAGAACAGAGTACACAGAACACAAGCCCTGCAGATTTCACAGACATCAAGAATAAAGAGGTACAATAGCTCGCTAGAGGTCTGATTATTGAGATCATAAGCTTGGAGTACAGTTGCTTCCTGTGTCCTTTCTCCACCAAAAAAAAAAAAAAAAGAAAGAAAAGAAAACCAGAAAGGGGAAAGGTTCATATTTATTTTT